TCTTTTTTTTCACATCATTGTCTACCGTTCTTGTTGCTAGCCTGCTTCCCCTTGTGATCAGAGCCTCGAACTTGTGGTATAATTTATAGTGTTCTGCATCGTACATGGAAGAAATGCGAATACCCTTCTTTTCTATCTCCTTCACTTCTAAAGTACGCCTTTTGTTCCAGCAATCCGCGAAATCCATACAGCCGTCTGTTCTGAACTAGAGCATTCACCAAACACTAAGTGCAAAGAAGGAGTTTTTCCGGTAAGATTTATCTTTATGAGGAAAGCACTGCTTAACTCTCTGTTCTACATTTCAAGGTTCGCTATCCCAAAACAGCAAAATATAGAAGATGTGTAAAGTGGAATCCTGTAATAGGCCGCGTCCAAGTGAAATTGCATTCCCCCGTCGTGGGAAGATTTTCAAATGGTACTCCGGATCTTCTGTCTACAGTATGTCCAATAAACTCGTAGTGTAATTCTGAAAGTTTAGGCTCGTACGTTTCTATTTTAGTGGTTTACGTGCCGCAAATAGTATGTTTCGAATTCGCGAACTGTGCACCTGGAGATGATGCAGCAAAGAACGAAGGAGGAAACGTCATAGCAAAATGTGCCAATAACTTCAAAGTAAGACTGACATATACATATCTTTTGATGCTTTTATAACAGAGAACTGCAGAGACTTTCTCTGGAGGAGTCGGGCGGTGCTTCTGTGTGCCATCTATCCGGTAACGATTTGCAGGTGAATCGCGAAACTTCATATGATTTTACAGTTTAACATATGTTGCAGGAGAAGTCACATTGGAGAACATCTTGTAGAACCAAGTACCCCAAGAAGGAAAAAAAATTTGGTGGTGAACTCTTCGAAAATTTACCGTTTTGACTTTACTACTTAGAACCCATTCACAATTCTTGCTTACTTTGGAAGGAAGTGTATGGTGGTAATCCTCCACGACTTTATCGGTTTGATGTTACTATTTCTTCATGTATCATGTTTGTTAACTGCTCTCGAGTAAAGCTTTTCTCCAGCGGGTATATTTCTGTGGTACATGCGTTTTAGCG